CTTTTTTTCTTTAATTCTTTCATGTAAGTACAAATCCTTTGAAAGGACCACTGCACATTTATAGTTTCAGACCACCAGTTTATTAAATCACTGTAAAGATTTAATCTGTTTTCTTAATCATTTTAACTTTCCAGTAGGAAAATATAAACTGCTTCCATTGTATGAACAAACAAACAAACAAACTTCATTTTTAAAGGATCACAAATTGGGCAAGCAGGCCCATCTTACATTTGACATGTCCAGACACTGATCGTTGACACAGCAGTGGTGTTTTATCTAGAAATCATATTACGTTCATAGATCAATATGATATGAATATCAAGTTGGAAACAAAAAACCATGGACCGAGTTAACTGGAGGAGGTAAATCAGGAATGGAATGAGAACGAAGGAAGTAATTATTGCAATAGTTCTGAAATCCCATCGTCATGGGTTGTGAGTCCAATGCCTCCTTATGCACAGTATAACACTGTCATCTGGAAAGACGGAAAGGGGCTGACAGCAATGAATGTGGAGTAAAAAAACACAAAAGCATGCATCATTCTTAGAGCTGTGCTCATCAGGGGAATACCCCAAGTCTTAGGTTTAGGTTTATACAAATGGATCAACATCATGGCACAAGGGGTAACCCATAAGTGCTCCGTTCTACTTCTAACTTAAGCCTGAGTCAGAAGAATTTCAGCGCAATGCATGAACTCCTTAGCACCGGCGAGGATCCTGAAATACTTTTGGTAGATTTTTTATTCCAAAGTTTGCCCGGGCAGCGCCGTTAGGCTACTCTTTTCGATTTCCAACTGCCATGTGTTTACATGTGCAACAATACACATGGGCATCCGATCGTACTACCCAGAGACCAGGGGAAATTACTAGTCCACATGAAAAAAAAACCCCAGCCTGAAACCAGGACCTCCCACAATCGAGGCTGATGCCATGCCTCGAGACCATGGAGCTCTGCCACCCCCCCCCCCCCCCCCCAAGTCTTACCATTACCAAGTGTTGAAGTATGGACTACCATTAATTTGCATTGATACTTTGTGTGAATGCAGAATTATAAGTTTCACGTAAACAGGTTATGGTTTTTTTTTTTTAAAGTGAATTCAAGTGATATCGATGATTTGTTGTGAGGACTTTAGTTTCTCCCTGAGTTGAAATGAGTCAAGACCTGACATACCAACTCCAGAACATTCCCATACACACTCCATCCTCGTCTTCAGTAACCAGCAAGGAATTCTAATGTTAGTAGTTTGATTATATGTCCGTCTTGTCTTGTCTTTTCCTGAGTGCAGAATATCTGCCAGATTCTGTGGTTACTCTCCACCCACCATTCTCTCCGCACCATTAGTGATCTCAATACACGCTTCTGTATTTTTACTGTCTCTTGTCATTTACATTGCTAACATAACTCTAAAGGAAAATATAGTCTATTTCAGCTTCACAAACTGAAGGTTACAAAACAAAGAAGGAACAACCTAGGTTGAGGTAATAAGATGTAAGTTTTCATCAGCAAACAAACCACAACATAATACTAAAATACATTCCAGCCAAATAAAGCATGCAATAAAGTGAAATAAAAGTTAGTAAGTAGAGCGAAGTTAATTGTCTGAAGTTTATGTAAACCGCTCTGGTGATTTGTTGAACTGGAAAAGGGGAAGGAAGGGGGGTGTGTCTCAGGAAGTTAGCATGGTTTTAAGTAGACATCTTCCTTCAGTTATAGAAGTAGAATGAACAAACCACAAACAACATATCTATGTGGAGAAATAGTAGAAGCAAATGAAAAGAATTACCATATAAAATTTCTGTCTTGAAGTGGAAGGTGATGTTTTCTAAATGTTACAAAATAAGAATGCATGGCTCTCATGCAGGAGACCCAGGTTCAAATCCTTGGTAAAAGAGATTTTTTTTTCTGCTGGGGGCAAAAATAAAATCCTAACCTGCACAGTCCATGGCGACCGCACAGCCCTATGTGCCTAATTCTTTAGGCTCAAATATTCCCCCCCCCCCTCCCCCCCACCTACATATCACAAGTGTTACATAACAAATTTTCATTTGAACTTTGTTCACCCCGCTCTGGACACGTCCATAAGTGGTCACATTCCTCCCTTAAGATATGAATTTTCTGTCCCTGGCTAATACTGCAAGTCCTATCCTGGCTGGTAAGACCTCTGATGTGCCTCTCGTTCGCAGTTGTCCAGATTTTAAAATTTATCATCATTAATGTCAATTTCCACTTCTGCTATTAAGTGTTGTGGGGAGGAACAGGTTGTGATCCATTGCTTGATGGGCAGCAATGGCTTTTGTCATTCCGTATTGATGTAAAAGCTCTATATTGCCTTTAGTCCATGTTCTCCTAGGGCGACTTCTTGGTTACACTTGAGGTCTTCTCATGTGTAGTGCCTGTGTTGGTAGTTCTGGCTACATTCTTACTAAACGACCAAACCATTTGATCTTCTGTTTCTCAATGAATTTGCTGCATGGTGTTGTTCACACAGTCTGTCTGATATCATTTCTTTCAATTGTCTCGGAAGAGACAGTTTATCATACTAAGTTTAAGTTATTCATAGTTTGAAGCGGGTGTTAAAGTTTCTCTGTTCTAGTTTATTGACTTATTAACATATTTATAGAAGATAAGGCCGTGTGTTTTCCCGTCTTTTGAAATCATGTGTAATTTATTGTTACCTTTGTTTGGACAGTACTATCTGCCTATCATTTCTGCTTAGTTTATTGGCTAGACATCGACCTGACTGCTTTGAGATATGAAGATAAGTGATTTCATGTATTTGTGTAGTATTGACTAATTTATGTATGTGCTGATGAAGGCTCCATAGCCGTAACGTTCACGTTTTGTTTGTATTTATAATATTGTGAAGCTAGCTGACATACTTTTCGTTTGGCTTTATATCTTTCCTTGATATCTGCCTATCAGGATGAGTGCCTTTCTCCTCTCAAGTACGGAGTTATCTACTTCTTCTAATGACTGGTGGCTTCACTGAACTACCTTTGGCAAACTTGTCTACTATAACCACCCTCTGCCATTAGAGCCCATGCCCTACGGGGGGTGGGAGGGGTCAATTTCGTTAAGAATGACAGTTTGATTCTTGGGGGGGGGGGGGGGGGTGGGGGGTTCGAAAATGGACTTGTCAAGAGTGTAAGTTTCATAGGGGGGCATAAGACTCAGAAAGGCTTAGATGGGGCATGGTTCAGAAAAATGTTGAAAAACACTGCACTAGAAGATATGCATACATCAGATTTTCCCTTTTTCTAGGTGATCAAAGGCCAGAGATGAGTATCTCATACTCTAAATTTGGTATCGGCATAACAGAACAGAACAGGGTTTTTACTTCTCATATTTTCTGTTTTTCCGTTGCCGGTAGAGTTTTGGAAATAACTGACATCACAACTCTCGGGGCATTCCTGTAAGTGCTCCGTCTGATTATATGTCCATCTTGCCTTTTCTCTGTGCGTCGAGTATTGGCCAGATCCCCTGGTCGCTGCATCACTCACAGCATGATTTTGATGATCAATTTGCTTTTCCGAATCATACACATGTTCCCATAAGGCGTTCCTATGGCAGAATGATTGAATCAAGAACTGATATCATTGCACTCCGGACATTCTCATACGTGCTCCTTCCTCTTTCTCAGTAGGCAGCCAAGTTCCCATAATGAGGGCGCCAGCTGCAGACTAATGAAAAACCCAACTGTATTTTCGCCTGCATATAGAAAATTGTCAATGCTCTCTGCTCATTGCTCACGCCCAGCCGAATCATTCTCTTGCGTGCACACATAATAATACTTCTCGTCCTTTTTAGCCTGGCCATAAATATGGCCTAAAGGCTGAACGCGGTTTCTGGGACCTCTCCACGGTGATCCTCACCCGCATGGTGGCACATTGCGTCATCGGGTTTTTATCACTTGTGTGATGTCCTGGTGGGGTAGAAAGTCAGCCAGTCAATCATTCTCTTCACATTAGTGAGCTCAAACTGTTCTGCTGCACAGTTTGTTTGATCACAAGAGAACCTTCACCAAGTCTGCTTTATCTTAAAGGAGCACACCGCCCACAGAGACTGCGACAGCTTATCAGGCTGCTCATTATTACCACGTACACCCGAATTTCAGGGCGAAAAATATCAAGAAGCGTGAAACCATAATGGTTCTGGGAAATAATAACGTCATCAATAAGTATTAAAACCGGATCACAGTTTGGCCATAGCAGCAACCATCACAATCCACGTAAAGACGGGAATCTCGTATCAAGATAAGAAGCTAAGAGCATGGAAGCGAGTAAGAGGGACAAGGGCCGATCAGTACGAAGAAGGACACAGGCCATAAGAGACATCTTCGGCAGGAGATTGCATGAGGCAGGAGAGCTGGTGAGACAGAGTATCTTTCAGGCGTGATGTTATAGAAACGACGTTCTGTACAGAAGCTGCTATGCTCTCTAATGTACTGTGTCCGCCTTTGTGCTCGTCGAACCCTGCCTTTTAGTTTTCCTAGAAATTATGCTACATACAGAATGTCGAAATTTCTCTTCATCGTCCATGTCATTCTAAGAATTCTTCGGAATGATGAACTATCAAGTTTCTTTGATCAGCTAATTACATAGTGCTCTCGATATGAATTTATCTTCTTCTTCTTCGCATTCACCGGCTGAAAACTCCAGTGGAAAGTTCTGGTTATTCTTTCACTTATGGACTGCAGTCATCCTGTTCCAGAACCTGAGTGTTGCATGTGCATCCGTTTGACAGATCTGACTGTTGGTTCCTTGCCTTTCAGGCAGATGCACTCCGACTTCAAAGGAAACTCCCGATTAGTCGCCTCTTACGACAAGCTTTTGGGTAGGCAGTGGGTCTATTCTTGTTTTCCCCTGTAATGGGGCACTGGAACCCACACGGGGAGATACGAGCCAGAAACAAGTTTTCAAAATGATGATAATAATAATAATCATGTTAACAAATCACGTGTTAGAGTAAGAAACGAGTTTTAATATCACTTTTCCTGACAGGAACAACTCGACAGATCTCAAGTAGCTGTACCGGCAAGGTTTTGAGGAAAGACGGGAGATGCATGAACCAAGCATTGTATAGAAGCTTTCTGTTTTCCTGTACAGGTACTGTCGTTTTTCGCCTGCGTTTATTTGTCATTAGAAAATCCGGGAGCTTTCTTTCACTCATAGTGTATACTGGAAGTAGGTTTAATGGCTGTAGACTTTTTTTTTTAATCAGTTATTTGCCCACCGAAATTAATTGTGTGCATTACATCACGTTACGTCATGTAACCATTAGTTTAGAATATCACTGCTATATTTCGGTGTTTTAGTAATTGATCTTTTCTATAATGGTTATTATTAAAGAACGAGCATTTTTGGTTCAATAATTAATGATGTCATATTCTGGTACTCAGGGGCTTCCTTCTTAAACTGTTAGCATTGTAACCAGTAGAATCGATTATGGATAGAGCTGTAATGTAGAAAACAGTACCTAGAATAGGACAAACTTTAGTAGTATATGTTGTATGAACTGAACAGATGGTGATTACAAAAGTATTTTCGGACCTGTTCACGTTTCTCGGCCCATCTACACATTTTTCAGTGTGATCTAGGTTTGAGGAGTGTCACATTGTTCTGCTTTCTTCGAAAGGAGTCTCTCGTGTGACCTAGGTTGAGGCTGTGGGTTTATGCATACGGGTGTGGTTGGCAATGAAAAAGTCGACAGATTAGCTGACTCTGCTTTAGAGGGCCGACCCATGGATCATGCCGACATTGTTAAAGCCATTAGAGGGGAAGAACGTTTGAAGGGTTTTGGGAGCAGCACATCCACATCTTTGCTAAGAGTGCAAGAATTCGGAGTTAAGATCGGCACAGCCAGGCAGGAGAAGTCTTGTTAAACAACATAGGGCTAGGACCATCAACCGCGGGACTCTTCTGTATATGTTGAATGGGGAATCTGAGCACCTATGGACGTGTCCGGAGTGCCGTGGAGATAACCCAAATCATAAATCATAGCACAGCAACCCATGTCATATAATGCATTTGATATGTTAAATAAAGACAGAATACGAAATCATGAAATCAGACAAATGCTAGGAATAAAGCCAGTCTTACAGGTCATCAAAGAACAACAAATGAAGTGGTTTGGACAACTAACAAGAATGCCCTGGTACTGTCTGCCACAGCGAGCCACACTAAAACGTTACAACGGGTATAGAGCGAGTGGAAGACCTCGGAAAATATGGAGTGATGGCATTAAGAACAGTCTTACAAAAATGAACATCACTTAATAGTGCTCTTGACAGAGCTCATCAACGAACATGACATCTCCCCTGATACTTCACTGAGGAAAAAGGTGGAAGAAAAGAAGAAGAAGAAGAAATGTTAAATGCCGCTGGCTTATGTTTCCATATAGAATCGATAATATATGGCACGGCTATTCGGCTTGTGGCCCGTGGGCTAAATCTGGCCCTCGTAGGTCTAGCAAGTGGCCCTCGGATCACTGTTAATGTATTGTATTGTAGGACCGGTAGATCTTGAAACTGAGGATATGTTTATATAATATAATAATATAGTTACGTTAGTTTCGTATCTTTTACAGGACGTTGTAGAACCAATCCCACCAGCCCCCGGCTGTTGTGTGGTTTTTCTAGGTAAATTTACGTCCAGTAGTTTGCCATTGCTTACTGGACGGTCGGCGTTCTTGATACCACCGTCGAAACCAACGCAAGGCGCATAGCCCGCAGCTGGGATCGAACCCGGCATCCCGGCATAACGAAGCGTTCGCATCGACTTAGCCACAGAGCCGACATATAATATAGTACAAGAACTATCATTACGGTCTGAGGAGAATGGCACTGCGAGGAGTTACAAGGGGATCTGGCCCACGCTCGACACTCAGGGGAAAGGCGAGACGGATATACCATCAGACAGTTACTGGTACCATCTGAATTTTAACTCTTCGCTTGCTGCTGAAGATGGGGACGGGGCGCTTATGGGGGTGTTTTAGTGCTGTGATGTCGAATCTTAATTCAACATTCAAGTATAAGAACAACATACATCTATCAGGCGGCATCACATTGAAGCTTAACAATCTTTCTACGCGGAGGCTCAGACCTGTGGCCCGTGACGATGCACATTGTCAACATGTTGGCCCCTGTATAGCCCTGTCATATGAGATAGGGTAATCAGTTCCTTTCTTTGTCACCGTTCCTTACCAAACAGGTTAGTTGCTTATCCTTTACAGGACGTTGCAGAACCAACCCCAATAGCACCTTGCTGTTGTGTGGTTTTTCTAGACAAATTTATGTCCAGTAGTTTGCCATTGCCTTCTGGGCGGTCGGCTCTCCAGATACCACTGTCTAAACCAACGCAAGGCGCATGGCCCGCACCTGGGATCGAACCCGGCTTCCCGGCATTACGAAGCGTTCGCATCGACTTAGCCACAGAGCCGACCCTTACCAAACAACCCCATCAAAATTATGATAGTTTTCTGCCTTGAATTTTTATCAGGCGGGCTGACCTCAGTGACACGTGGAATGAAAAAAAAAAGAGTAATCATTTGAATGAGAGCTCAACTCCCGCCTCCATAAATTTGTTATTGGGCGAGTATGTCACCATCGGTTCCCCCCAGAACCCGCCTATATACACACTAGCTCACTTCATATTTGTAGTTCCTGAGCTGCACAACCTTCGCAAACTGCTACGGGGGTGTTCCGCAATGCTGTTGATATCGCATGTTGTATATTTCAGTACGCCAGCGCTTTTAACACTACAAAAACATGTACAAACTGGGTCTAACACAACCCCCTAGATAGTGCTGCAACCTATGTTATAGGCATTCTCTTTCTCGGAATGAAAACGTTAATGCAAAACATCGCAGAAACCAAAGAAAAGAGCCGGACATACCCGTAACATCCAAGAAAGTGGACCAGCCTAAGAAATTTGTCAATAAAAACTGACCTACTTTGTTTTAACATCGAACTAAATCACCCTCTCCTTCCCCTCCGTCCTCTTCTCCGCCCGTCTACTATGTAAACAATTAATATGTTGAAGTTTTTGTTAATGCATTGGGGAAAGGGGGGAAGGGGGGAAGGGGGTGTTCACCGTGGTGTAGCGACTACTCGTTGATGTATGGATCCGAAGATCGTGGGTTAAAACAGAGCTGGACTTTTATTTCCTTTTTTTTTTTTAAATTGCCGAACTAGGCAACCGTTGTAAATTAGTAATGCAGTGGATACCTTCCCACTGTGGAGTTCCCAGAAACGAAAGAGCTGATAAACTAGCTAAGGAAGGTGCAACTGAAGAACAACCCGACATACCAGTCTCTTCTCAACAGAAGAAGAGAATGATCAAATCAATCAGAATGCCACCGAAACTGGCACAAAACCATTACCATATTATGGACAGACCAGAGCAAGTCGTTATCCTTCGGGCACAATGGACTTCGCTGCCACATGTACAACAAATTTAAGATTGGACAATCAGCCATGTGTACCTGTGGACTGGCACCTGAGACAACAGATCACATCCTCCAAGACTGTCACAGATTCAACGCTTCCAGGCAAAACGTCTGACCAAAAGAGACACTTGTGGAAGTCAAACTTTACGGGTCGCTTAGTGAATTACAAAAGACAGTAAAATTCATACTAGAGACAGCATTGCAGAAATAGATAATTTATTTCATGGGAACGAAAGAAGAAGAAAAATTGCCTTGTCTCCGAGTTGCCGGTGCCATGTTAAATATGGATATTGTCTATATATGCGTGTTTTCATGGCAAAGTGATAAACTCTTTCATTCCTAGTGAGTTGTTACCTTAACTCTTTCATCCCAAGGCGTTAAGCTTAAATTAATTAAAATTAGGGCCTAGAGGAGTTCATTATAAACACAGTTGGGTAGAACAATTATTAATCTAGACACTAAAGGGGTTAATATAACATCACTGTATGATAGAAAAAAAGCTGGTAAATTATTTTGGTTACCTTTGTCTGAACCAGTTAACAGTTAATAGCATTTCCATCGTCATGACCAGCCGCTTACCCTATAGTTGCTCCTTCCTGTACCAGCGACAGCTTCACATAATGTCAGCAGTTTTTAAAAGGGTAGGAAATTATAGGGAAGATAAGAAAATGGATAAGAAAGAACAAATAGTTTATGTCAGCTTTACAAAACCAATCACAATCAACAAACGAAGGATGTTGCGGCGATTTACCTTCATCAGTGCATAAAGAACAACACAGCACATATACACAAATATGCAGGAACTATGAATTGACTACATATGTCTATAAAGTACTGAATACATTATACTAATCTGTGTCACCGGAGAAAAACTTCGTTCAAGAAGTCACCGCGGGGACTGGAAACGAAAACTGGGACCATTTACGTGGATAGTGGGAAGAGTTAACGCCAACAGCATAATTTTTCGTCGCTGCGCTTTGTGAAGAGAACAATGAAACAGGCTGCTGTCGCAGCAAAGCCCGTAGCATACAGTCAGTCAGTAACATGTCCTTTGCAGAACCTTGCTTCCATAATAACCCTCCGGAAATCTTCTCGATCACAAGCAGAATGTCCTCCGTCCGATACACCCATTTGGAGATGATCCGCCACATCCTGCACCCATCTTCTTTTTGGCCTTCCTCTTCCTCTCTTCCCAGGCATATACCCCTGCATTATTGTTCTCTCTAAACTTTTGTGAAGTTTAAAGTGACCAAAATATTTCAATTTTCTGTGTTTTATAGTCTTTAATAGCCAACCTTCTTCAATATTTAGTTCTTTTCTTTACCCATGTCATTCTTAAAACCCATCTATAACATTTATCTTCAAAGGCAATTATGCGCTGTTCAGCTTGTTTAGTAATTGTCCAGTTATCTCAGGTGTGTGTTGTAATGGGAAAGATGCATATCTTAGAAATATAATTGTCAGCAGCACACACGCATATTTAATGTACAAGGCAGTCGTCAGAGGTACCAGCACAAACAGTTCGTCGCTAGCATTCCAGTTCATGGTCCATGGAAGAGCAGAAGTTACAACAGGCGGGC